TCTTCCGATCTCCCTGCCATGGGGACATTACAAGATACCATTGTAAATAAAAAACTCGCATATTTGTAATAAACACATATAGTATATTTGTATTAATCTCATATATTTTTTAATAAACATAATGTCTTATGTATAATAAAAAAAGAATTTGCTATATAAATTTATTTTACAACACGTTATCCTTGTGTATCCATGAATTATGTGAATCGTCCAATCCCAACTATTTTACGTATACCTCATTCCCTTTTTTGCGCAAAACTTTTTCAACGAGGTACACATCGGGATTAGCAAAGCGATGCAGTTCGTATTCATAGAATCCCCCGGCTATGGGTTTTCCGCGAGAATCCTCCAAAAGATACGTTGCGGGATTAGTTTTCTGCATCTTGATGATTTTAAACACTTCCGTGATCCAATTTGACGTGTAACCCTTGTCAAAAATTGTCTTGAATTTACTGACGCGTACCAAGTCATCCACTTTGAATCGTGCGGGTGCGGCGATCTTTACGCGGTTATTCACCGTGGTTAAGAGCTTGTTGACGATTGCGAGGGTGACATCGACGGGTCGCATACCGATAGTTCGATGCTTTCGCACGTTGTATTCAGACATGAGACGCGGTAGCAAATCGATCCATCTATAGTTTCCATTGTGTGTAAACTGCTTCCACATGTTGTTTTTCAACGTACGGTTGAACCGATCGACGACTGATGCCTTCATTACTGAATATGTAGAATAATGATTGATGTTATGTTTCTTTAAGAGATTCTGCGCGTTGGCGTTATAAAATTCCTTTCCCCTATCAATCTGTAAATTTTTCGGGCATCTTCCATTGTGTCGAATTATCTCTGCGATCGCTTTAGTCACATCACTTCCGCTCTTAGCCTTGAGAGGTACGGCCAATGCATGCTTACTCAGCACATCGATAACAATGAGAATGTAGTGGTAACCTCTGTTGAATCGCGTATAAGGACGCATCTCGACCACATCCGCCTGCCACATCGTATCCGCAAACTATGACGCGTCTTCGTGGAAAATTTCTTCTCGCGGGGCGTGCAGTTCCTCGATCAGCTGCTGCTTTTCGAGACTTTTCTTTTTCGACATGTTCGAGTCTTTTCTATTCAGCA